AGTGCCGGGCGGGATGACCGGGGCGACCGCCGTCCGGTGACTCTTGATGCTCTTCGAACCCTTGAGGGCGAGGTCTTTCGTGATCGGAGCTCCGCTGAGCGTCATGCTGAAGTCACATATCACTGTGCAGACGCTCTTAACGATTTTAAGCACGTCGTGCGCCGGCTGCCTCGCCTTGAGGACTACTGCGCTCTGTCGAAGCGACCCCTAGCTGTGGAGCAGGCGAATGCATCGCTGCAGGCAACGGTGGAGCGCTTGGCTCCATTGGAAATGAAGGTTGTTGCATTCCGTGCTCAGAACCGGTTGCTGGTTCAACTGCTAGGTGGCCGAGGGCCCGTGTTATCCGCTCCGGCGCCAACGCTTCCGCGTTCACTTGCGCCGGATCCCGGTACGGCTTGAGCAAGCCCACGTGAACACTAGGTGGGTGCGCATCCGTTTGGAAACTTTAGCGTATACGCTAGGCCCCGCTTGGCCACAACCTTAAACGGCCCAATAAACCGTAGACAAAGCTTCGTCCGGAAGATAGCAGAGGCTGCATGTGTAGGCAGGTTTTCTAAGAATTTAATAAAACCAGGTCTCCAACCTTAAAGCTTTCCACTTTGCCTCTTACTTTTTCATCTGCATATTCTTTTTGCAGGTCTTGGCTTTCAGCCATCGCATCGCGAACATGCCGTAGGACACTCAGTCTGGGAGACACTCAGTCTGGGAGACACGAAGTCATCGACTTCTTTACGCATGGTGAGGGGGCTGACATCAGATAGCCGTTTGGCTATTCTACCCCCACCAAGCCCTGAGCCATGGAATGGCGGCGTCAGCGGAACGCGAGGGTGAATAGGCCCGTTCACGTAGAACGGCGTGTAGCCGGTAGACGAAAGCACTGCAGTGTTCAGTGCAAACTCTACGATTGGCAACATGGAGCTCCAGCGCCTCGGCGTCTCAGCGCAGAGGCTGCGAAGAACGTTTTCAATGACGCAATTCACCCTTTCGGTTTGACCATTGGCCTGCGGATGATTCGCTGCCGACATATCCAACTTGGTGTCGAGCACCTTGTAGATAGTCGACCAATAAATTTCCGTGAAACGGAGGTCTCTATCAGCAATCGACTCTGGGAGTCCGTGTTGACGGAAAACACGATCCACGAACAGCGTTGGTGTACCAACTCCGTCGATGGTGTCTGGTACCCCCGCCAAATGAGCCATCTTGCTCAATCGGTCGATGAATACCACGACACCCGTGTTGCCCACCGAATCTTTCGGCAGGCCAAACACAAAGTCC